GTGGTTCTTCATTAGTTGTTTTATATGGATTCACTCGATTCCTTTCCCGCTACCTTTGTGTCGGAGTCGATCAGTCACCCACTTTTCATCAACCCCTGCAATCTTGGCCAGTCTGTTCTTTAAAGGCTGACCCTTGATATGTTTGATATATGCCTTCTCTAGTCTGATGCTTTCGCAGTGCAGTAGTGTGGTATACTCTTCGATAGTGGGCACCATGTCCTCCCGGTTAAAGGTGAAGCAACTATATCCGAGGTTCCAGAATTGAATCAGTGCTCGGAGTAGGGGCTCATCAGTCTTGACATGAAGTAAGAGGGAAATATCACCATATCGTTGGCTGAACTTCTGCTTTCTGTCATTCTTCCAACTGTCCCAAATGTTTCGCAACTCTTGGACATCATTTTGTTTCAGGCTGACAGAGGCATAGCTAACAAGCTCTGACATGTAGTTCCCCTGAAGACTGTCTCCCTTCTCTTTCTGAGTCATCTCGGACCATAGTCGTGCCTTGACGTTCTTAATCTCTTGTATTACAACACCTTTGTCCATTAATTCAGATTATTTTGTGTGTAACAAACGCTTTTTAAGGATCAATAGCCTCTTTTTATGATGCAAATGCTAAAAAAACAAACACAAAAGCAGAAATGTTAGTAAAATAAATAAATAAATGACGAAAGGAAAAAAAGACATGGTTAAGGTAAAAATATCCTAGGTTTCAGAAATGTGGTTTTGGGGTAGGCTCTAATTCTTCATGGTCTCCCAGTTTAGGTTCTAAAAACGGTACCTGAGTTCTCCTTGCCGGTGCCCTCTTGGGCTTGCCGGTGCCCCCTTGGGCTTGCCAGACCCTTAGTCCTAAACCCATCACAGGCTTGTGTGGACTAAGTTAAACTCGAGGGGACACATTCCCTTATGCCCGCACGGTGAATAAATTCACACGAAGATATAAGGTATATGAATCCCGAAGGCTACTTGCTAGGCTCGCACAGTGAATAAATTCACACGAAGGCATCACTTTCACCCCCACTTAAAGTAGGGTTTGGAGCTCGAGTTTAAAGCCTTAGATGAAAAATCTTTAAGGGCTGAAATCATTAAAAAATGGTCAGTACAACTATTTACTCGAAAATATAATCAAAAGTAAGTAATAAAGATCGAAATGTTACCTTAAAATTTAAACTTACCCTTTTCATTAAAAAGACAACTGGAAATTACCTTAGCCTGACTCACTTACTTGTCTCCCCACCAGAGTCGCCAAGCTGTCACAACCGTCTTTCGGTTGGGCCCCGGAATTGGGCTTCGACATGAAAAATGTGGATTGGAGTCGCCACCGATCTTTTATTTAAAACAAATGGGTTGATCGGATACCCTATTTCTTACCTGATCTGCGTCTTTCCAAAGATGTGTTGGGTTCAGGAGTCGGTTACGGTCAAGGAATGATTAGCACCCTTGAATCGTCCTTTCGGTACTACGTAATTTCCAGTTGTCTTTGATTAAGAAAATTGCAAGTTAAATTAAAAGGTAAAATTTGATCCGAATTACTTACCCTTAATGTGTTTACGGAAAAACCCTTAAAAATAAGATTTTAAAAGAAAATAATAATAATAAAAGAAAGTAACAAAACTAAAGAGTAAACAAACGAAATAAATGAAACCAATAATAATAAACATAAAATAATTGGATGAAAAAAAAATGAAATTGAATAAAATAAAATAAATGAAGATAAAATATATACAAAAAGAATAAAAAAGGTAAAGTGTTTTTTTTAAAAAGAAAATAATAATAAGAGCAAAGAAACTAAAATATAATGAAAATAAATAAATAGTATAAATAAAATAATAAAATATATATAAAATATAAAAATGTATGTATAATATAATAAAATACTAAATAGTAATAATAATAAGAAATAAATGAAAAATAAATATATATATATAATATTAACTAAAAAATAGTAATCATAGAAATATAAAATAAATAAAGTAAGAATATATATATATATATATAACGTTAGGAAAATATAGTAAAAAACATAGTAAATAAGTAAACATAGATAAAAATAATAATAATATAATATATATATATATAATAATAGGAAAATAATATAATATAACGCAAAAAAAATTAAAAAAAAAAGAGAACTATAATAAATAAATTAAATATAATTATAATATATATATATATATACATATAAATAATAAGGGTTAAATTAAAATAAAAAATGATTAGGGTCGAAATTAAAAGCCAATTGAAGAAAAAATTTAATCTGCGTGTATTTAAAATCAGGGGGACCGAAATGGGGATTAACCCACTATAGAGGCAAAACACACGGATCCACATGACCCGTTTATAAAAATCCGAATAGTTTTTCAAAAAAACACAAGCCTCGGGGGCTAGATCTACAAAAATAGATCTCGAAAACGCCCCCGTTCATTAGCCAAAAACACTTCTCTCGGTTTTCTTTCAAATCAAAACACAGCAAGGGTAAGAAAAAATAACATGTGAAAGCATGAACTTTACCTTTCAAAATATAAATGCTTCGAAAAATGGCTACGAGTTGCTTGTAATTTTTTTGCTTGGTATTTCGTATATCTCTTTCGAATGTGTTACAATAGTGAGTTACAATGACTATTTATAATGCTTGTGGATCTTATCTTTAGGAGTTTAAATAATAGTAGAACTCTATCCTATTTTTAGGAGTTTGAATCCTAGTAAAATTATATCCTATATTTAGGAGTTTGAATCCTAGTAGGACGAAAAGGTGTGTTGACATCTTCAAAGGCTCGTTAGTAATCATTTATAAATAGAAAATGCATAATGTTGATTGAAGCCCCTAAGTCACACATTACACGTTTGATTTTAAAATTACCTATTTTACAAGGTATGGCGAATATACCTTGATCCTTCATCTTTGGTGGGAGTTTTCATTGAAAAATTGCGCAAACATTTTCTCCCGAATTTACCTTTTCGTGCCCCATTAATTTCCTCTTTGTAGTGCAAAGTTCTTTTAAAAATCGAGCATACCTCGGTACTTGTCGAACTACTTCAATAACATGTACGTTAACTTGAACTTTTTGGAATACCTCTAAGATCTCCCTTTCTTTAGCTCTTTTATCACGCTTTATCAACCTTGATAGGAAGGGTGGTAGCATGATTTCATGAGAAGAATAAGAAGGATGTGTGTCAGATGTACCTTGTATTTCTGGAGGTGACGTTTCTTCTTGTTCTTCCTGTTGTATGGCTTTTTCTGCTGGAACTTCGGGTGAAATGATTGTTCCACTTCGAAGTGTGATAGCACTAACATTCTCTCTTGGGATTTAACTTCGTTTGAGAAGGTAGTCTTCCTTGTGATTTCAATTTCCCCACTGTTTCAGCTAGTCGGCTCACTTGGTTATCTAACTCTTAAATATGTGTCTCGGTTCAGTTTTGGAACTTTTCCTGGGATGCAACTAGCTTTTCCTGGGACGTAACCAACTTTTTCTTGTGAAATTTCTAATTTTTCTATGATTTCCTCCAATGATGGCTTTTATGTTTGTTGTTGAAATTGAGGTCTTGGTTGATAAGCTGGCATTTGATTCGCCGAATAGTTGAAATTTGGGTGGTTTCGCCATCCCGGGTTATAAGTATTTCTATATGGGTTGTATGGTCTTTGTGGAGGACCTAGAAAGTTTCCTACGTCATTGATTTCTGCATTGCCTCATTATTGTATCATCGGGCAGTAGTCCGTCAGATGGTCTAGCTTCGTGCATATCCCACATGCCCTTGTTACCCCAGATTTTCCTGCAACAAGTGAATTAACTACTTCAGTTAATTTATCTAACTTATTTTCAAGGGAAAATGTACTTGTCTCGTGAACCCGTCGGATGGGTTCACTTGAAAACTGTTGAGAGTTGGTTGTCATGGTTGAAATCAATTTTATTCCTGTTGTTGGGGTCATGTTGACTAATGTTCCTCCACTAGAAGCATCTACTATTTTCATTTCCATTGGTAAAAGACCTTCATAAAAGTACTGAAGTAACGTTTGGTCACTTAATATGTGTTGCAGGCAACATGCGCAAAGCTTTTTAAATCATTCCCAATAGTCATAAAGACTTTCTTCGGCCTTTTGTCGAATGGAAAGAATGTTTATTCGTAACTCACTTGCTTTAGCTGCTGGGAAGAACCTATCAAGAAAATTTTGACTCATGTCAGCCCATGAATTAACTGAATTTGGAGGTAAATAAAAATAACTAATCTTTAGCCAAGTTGGCTAAAGTGAAAGGGAAAGCCTTCAATTTAATTTGATCTTCGATAACTCCCTGTGGTTTCATACTAGTGCAAACAACGTGGAACTCCAATAAGTGTTTGTGTGGATCTTCAGTAGAAAACTGTAGAAAGTGGGAAAATGATGAATAAGTCCCATCTTTAATTGAAACGGAGTCCTGTCACTAGGAAAATTGATGCATAATGGAGTCTGAGTGACAGGAGCTGCGACTAGCTCTCTGATCGTTTGTTCTTCTTCTGCCATCGGGATTTGATCTTCATTATATGCGTCTGTTTCAGAGTTTATCTCTGTATTTGATTCTGTTTCTGAACTCTGATCTTCTCTTCTCTTTCTTTTTTCTCGAAGCGTTTGTGCGTGGATTCTTCGTGCTCGTGCTTCGATCTCCGGGTCAAGATCTACTAATTCACATGGGTTTCTTCTGGTCATAAATCAATAAAACAAAGAAAAATAAATTAGTACTTGTTGTGAGTCCCCGGTAACGGCACCAATTTGATAACTGTTGTTTTTCTAACAAAATAATTTTGGTTTCTTAATAAGTAAAAAGTGAGAGTAGTATAGAGAAGCAGGGTCAATCCACAAGGACTTTGGTGTTTCTGATTTAGTGGAATTTTTTGATTTAGAAGAAGATAGAATTTCAGATAAGGACAAAAAGATAAGAATAAAATAGTAAAATAAAATAGATAATTAAATATAAATTATTTTAAAAGGAAGATAAGAATAAAATAATAATTATAAGATAATGATAAAGATAAAAAGGGAGATGAATTCTGGCACATGACTAAAGTTCTAAGATTAAGAACTGACGACAGGTACTGTTATTATCATCAGACAATTGCATTTTTCACCCAAATTTTTAACTATATTTTATTACTGAAACTATAGAAATTATGGGTTTTGTTTCATTTCGTTTAATGTTTATTTGTTTAATGCTGTTGTATAATTATGAAGAGTAGTGCTCTTCAATGGGAGAGGAGGTCTAGCAGAAGGGTTCATACAAAACATAGACAGTACGGCGATTAATTTTGTGGCTTTGGAAGATCCAAAGCTTGTTATTCCACAGACCCCACAATGGCATATATTTTCTGCTTTTGGTAAGTTTTTGAGTTAAAAGAAAATAATTGCAGTTGCCAAATTTGTTTCATTTGCTAAATCATGTTTCTGTTTAGGTTCACTCAAGGGTGGTCGAGCTGACTGGCTTGTTGAGAAGTGTATTGTATGTCATTATGTCTTATGGAACTACAAACATTTCTATCTATATATGTGTGTATATTTTTATTTTGTTTATGTTACTTTTGTTGCTATAATGTTTTGTTTTCAACTTTCTAGGAACTGGGAGCTAGTAGTGTAATACATTTGCTCACTGAACGTTCTTCTACCCTCTCTGACAATCGGGTGGAGAGATTACAGCGTGTCATTTTAGCTGCAGCTAAACAATGTACGCTTGATTTTACTTATGTTTATGACATTTTAAATTTTACATTTTAAATTTGCTTCGTTAGATTTTTGGTTGGGATATAATATATCATGGTGTTATGTGTTTCCTTGGCTTTCACTCGATATTAGTTTCTTTTTTGGTTTTCCTGTTTGTTCTAACTATTCAATTAATATTCTTGTGAATGCTGATGTTCTCTACTTTGTATGAATTGTGGTTTCTTCTTTTAGGCCAACGGTTGCATGAAATGAAATTGAATCATCCTATGAAGATTAATAAGCTTATACCTCTTGTGAGTTATTCTTCCATTTTAATATTTAAGTGGCTATCAAATTTTATAGTTACTTGCTCTCTAAGGTTACATTTCTTCCAATGTTGGTATGCAGATTTTCAACATATAATATTATTAGGAAGCACCACAATGTCACGAGGAATTACTGATTTTAGTTATATTTTCTTCTAGTTATCCACTTGCAGTTCCTTAAAAATAGCTCTTTTAGTATATATGCTTTACATTGTTGTTTTCAGTAAGTGTAATGTGTTTTACCTTCCTCTTATTTATTGCACTCAAAACTTGTTTTCTCCCATTCTTTTGCTTAATAGGTTGCCAAGTCAAAGCAGTCTTTTATAGCCATTGCAGAAGCTACTCCACTTGTTAGTGCATTGACTTCAACAACTAAAGAACCTAATGGACTGATAATAGTTGGACCAGAAGGGGGTTAGTAATTTAGCATGCACTTTATATTTGTCCTATACTTCTGCTGCGTTTGCAGGTCTGAATGTCATCTATGGGAGGAAGCTAGCATTCTAATTGATTTTCTGTGTAAATACAAGAAATAGAAAATAATATTGTACTTTTTTATATCTACTATTTAGATTGGTGGTGCTATAAAATTATCAAGGTCATGGTTGAGATAACATTGGCACCCATAATTGAGGGTCTCTGTTTTCTGCTTGCTTTGGTAAGTGTAAAAGACAATTAATATAACTTGTGATTCTGGTGCTTCAGACTTTACAGAGAAAGAGGTGAATTTGATTACAGAAGCAGGTGCTACAGCTGTCGGTCTTGGCCCTCATCGTTTGCGTGTTGAAACTGCAACTATAGCTATTTTAGCAACTCTTACTCTATGGTCCGACTCTCAGCAAACCACCAATTCTGACGCCAGACAGAATAGTGATTATCCTGTAGGCTAGCTCCGACAGACGATTCACAAGAGAAAATTCGCCCAAAAACCAGAGAAAAAAGTCTCTAGGGTTTAATAAAATATTATAAAATCAATAACTGTCTCAAAAGCAGTCCACAAGCCGGACTGTTATAGCAAAAAAATCGTCTTTATTCGAATTTTGCCAAAAATAGCAAAAATCGTATTTATTCGAATTTTGCCAAAAATAGCAAAATCCCGAAAATCACTCTAAATTGAAATTCGAAATAAAATAAGCAATCTCCCAAAAATCCGGTCTAAATCGGATTTAAATTGACTTCCTAATTAACAATCGAAATATTACCATAAATAGTAAAAATAACTAAATCTAGTGATTCGGGGGAAAACGGCAGAATTTGAGGTTGAAAAAAGGCCACATGGAGCATAGCTCCATGTGGAGAGCGTGCGCGTCGAAAAGAGCTTTCCGGATTGGGGTCTTATGCGCGATTCTGACACCTGTAGCCAAGTTATGGCCAAAGACTGAAACATACTCAAAACGACCCCAATAAGGAACATGTCACAATCAATTCCTGCCTTTGCGCTGATCTGCCAACTCATGGTATCTCAGCGCCATCAACGTGCAATCTGACAGCTCAGCATCATCTGTCTCGGATCCCCCTGCATCAGTCGCCCCGGGTTGGAAAGAACTCGTCCTCGAGTTCAGAGTAGTGTCATCAGGATCCACAAAACAATGACTCAGGTGCTTCACATTAAAGACATCAGAAGTCTTCAAGTGACTGGGAAGTCGCAACCTGTAAGCATTATCATTGATCTTCTGCACGACCTCACAAGGTCCAATCTTCCGATCCTTAAGCTTATTATACTCACCAACAGGAAAACGATCACGAGTTAATACAGCCCAAACAAATCACCAACATCAAAAAGTACCTGACGACGATGATTGTCGACCCGAGTCTTGTACTTGGTATTGCTCTCATGAATGGTCTGTTTCACCTGCTCATGGATACCCCGAAGATACTTTGCCATCTCATCTGCTTTAGGACTGAAACGTCCTATACGTGGAATAGGGGCTAAGTCCAACACCCCGGATGGGTTCTGACCATAGACAATCTCAAATGGGCTTAACCTGTGGTTCTGTTTTTTGATCTGTTGTAGGCAAATTCTGCCTGAGGCAATGCCAAATCCCACTGCTTCGGCTTCGTTCCTACCAAACACCTTAAAAGGTTTCCCAAACTTCGGTTCACCACCTCAGTCTGGCCATCCGTCTGGGGGTGGTAGGCGCTACTGAAATTCAACTGCGTTCCCAGTTTCCCCCACAGGCTCTTCCAGAAATGACTGATGAACTTAGTATCACGATCTGAAGTGATGGATCGAGGAACACCATGTAAACGCACAATCTCCTTGAAATAGAGATGGGCAATCCGGTCAGCATCCATAGTCTTTCTACAAGCTACAAAATGAGCCATCTTGGAAAACCTGTCAACCACAACAAAGATAGAATCAGAGGCCCTTTGGGTGCGGGGTAAGCCTAGTACAAAATCCATGCTGACATCGAACCAAGGAGCTTCAGGAACAGGTAAGGGAGTGTACAATCCCGCATTGGTGAGAACTCCTTAGATCGCTGGCACACATACAACGGTCCACATAATGGGCCACATCACTAGTCAACTTGGGCCAATAAAATTCAGAAGAGATAAGGGCCAATGTCTTATCTCGGCCAAAGTGTCCCTCATTATGGAGTTCACTTATAATTTGCTGCCTCAATGAACAATCTGGAATGCACAATTGAAATCCACGAAACAGATACCCATTATGCAAAACAAAATCATGACGGTGACCCTCAGTTACCTCCTGAAATATCCTTCCAAAAGAAGGATCAGCTGCATACATATCTGTGAACGTCTCAAATCCTACAACTTTAGTACTCATGGTGGTGAGAAGTAAGGTACGACGGCTCAGGGCATCTGCGACGCGGTTCAAACTCCCTGCTTGGTGCCTCAGCGTAAAAGTGAATTCTTGCAAGTATGCTACCCACTTGGCATGACGTCTACTCAGCTTGTGTTGGCCATTGATGTACTTCAAGGCCTCATGATCGGTAAACAGAATAAACTCCTTCTGTACTAGGTGACGCCAATGCTTCAGGGACTGAACTATGGCATAGAACTCCAGATCATAAGTGGAATAATTTTTCTTTGATCCCGATAGCTTCTCACTGAAAAAAGCAACCGGACGACCTGCCTGACTCAGAACACCACCAATGCCAACGCCAGATGCATCACAATTTACCTCGAACACTTTGTCAAAATCTGGAAGTGCCAAAACTGGAGCCTCGTCATCTTCTGCTTGACCATTGAAAACTGGCCTCTGCCTCCTCAGACCACTGGAAATCACGCCCCTTGAGGCACTCTGTGATAGGGGCGATCAGAGTACTGAAATTTCTAATGAATCGACGGTAAAAAGACGCCAAGCCATGGAAACTTCGGATGTCATGTAAGGTCTTGGTCTGGGCCACTCCAAGACTGCATCTATTTTTGACTGATCTGCATGAACACCATCAGTAGACACAACAAAACCAAGAAAAGTCACAGAAGTAGTGAAGAAAGAACACTTTTTTGATTGACAAACAAGCACTCCGTTTTCAGCATCTCAAAAACAGCACGGAGGTGATCGAAGTGTGAAGTCCATGTCGGACTATAAACGAGGATATCATCGAAGTAAACTACAACAAATTTCCCCATAAAAGGCCGCAAGACCTGATGCATAAATCTCATGAATGTACTGGGCGCATTGGATAACCCAAAAGGCATGACCATCCACTCATACAACCCTTGTGGCGTTTTAAACGCTGTCTTCCACTCATCTCCAGGCCTTATTCTGATTTGGTGGTAACCGCTCTTAAGGTCAATTTTTGAGAAGATCTTAGAACCAGATAGCTGATCCAACATATCATCTAGACGGGGAATTGGAAACCGGTACTTCACTGTAATTCTGTTGATCGCTCGCTGTCAACACACATACGCCAAGAACCATCTTTCTTTGGCACTAACAGAGCAGGGACTGCACATGGGCTCATACTCTCTCGGATATAGCCCCTCTCCAACAACTCTTCCACCTGTCGCTGCAACTCTTCGGCCTCCTTGGACTGAGGCGATATGCTGGTCGATTTGGCAAACTTGACCCCAGGAACAAGGTCATTTGATGCTGAATATCCCTCATAGGTGGTAGTCCAGGAGGAAGATCCTCTGGCATCAAGTTAGAGAATTCTGCTAGCAACCGCTGCACCTCTACTGGTAATCTGTATCCACGTCTACTGCATTGTTCTCGCAAGGTAGCAAGGCATAGACCACGTCGCCATGCTCAATCTCATCTAAAAACCTGGACATAGAAAGCAGATTAGTATTTGGGTTACTGGGGTAGGAGTAAGTCCTTCCCGCCGGGGTGCCAACACAATCTTTTTTCCCTTGATGCTAAGGGAATATGTATTCTTCCGTCCATCATGAATGACACTGCGATCATACTGCCAAGGTCAACCCAACATATATGACACGCATCCATAGACACAACATCACACCAGGCATTATCAAAATATTTTCTACCAATTGAAAAAGACACCAGGCATCGCCTATCAACTGTTACCTCACTGTCTTTATTTAGCCATGACAACTTGTATGGCTTAGGATGACGGTCCGTCTTCAACTGCAATTTCTGGACAACCTCCTCGGACACTACATTCTCACAACTGCCGCTGTCAATGATCATTTTGCAGACTTTATCTGCAACTGTGCAAGTCGTGTGGAAAATATTGGTTCTCAACCAATCGTCCCCTGAATCGCCCTTGGGGTAAGTAGACTCTTGCGAACGACCAGAGTCTCATGACCATCTCCATACAGCACATCATCAGTCTCATCATCGTCATACACGGGTTCGCCAATCTCCTCAGTCTCGTCTTCCACGTTTTCCTCAATCAACAAATTTTTGCCCTTTTGACTAGCAGGCTTCCTGCAATCATCGCCCTATGCCCTTGTTCACCACAACGAAAACATCTAATAGTAGGGTTAGAATTACCCTGCGGTGGCTGCTGAGCAGGACGGGACTCTTGAGGGCGAACTGGTCGACTGTTGTGATCGCTCCTGATCACTGGTCTCCTGTTTTGCTGTTTTTCAACAGCAAGTGCACGCTGGTATGCTTCCGAAACACTCCACAATGAATGAAGGCTGAGGACATCTTGCAAGGGCTGGCGTAAACCCCCCAAATATCGCGCCACCATCTGCTCCTCCGTCTCAGATAAATCGTTTCGGGCGACCAATTGGTAAAACTCCTCCGTGTAATCATCGACTGATCGCACGCCCTGCCTCAACGCATGAAGTCGCTGAAATAAGGTTTGCGTGTAGCCGAAGGGAAGGAAGTGCCCTTCATCTTCTTTTCATCTTCTCCCAATCATGATCTTGGCTTTGCCCTGTCTTTTCTCGTGAACGTCGTAACTGTTCCCACCACGCAGATGCTCTGCCCTTGAGTTTGATGGCGATCAGTTTCACTTTCACACGATCGGGGACTTCCTTATATTCAAAAATACGCTCCACTTCATTAATCCAATCCACGAATCCCTCAGCTGTAATGTACCAGAAAACTCAGGGAGATCGACCCGAAAACCGAGGTCTCCATGACGCTCCTCCCGACCACGTGCTCCCGGAATCCTGCGCCCCGGAATCCTGCGCGATTGTGATATGGGTTTTCGAAAGTGGAATTTGTATCGTGATCAGAGGCCTCACGATCCTCTAAATCCTGCGCCGCCAGGCGCTGGGTTAATTCTGCGACTTGCCTCTGTAAATCCGCAATCATCACATCCTGAACGCTGCGATCACGGCGTTGGGCTTCCTCATTCGGAACCTGCTCAGGACGACCACGACCACGACCTCCAGCCATTGAAACTGGTGAAATTTCCCAAGAAGATGTTGAAGCTCTGATACCAACTGACGCCAGACAGAATAGTGATTATCCTGTATGCTAGCTCCGACAGACGATTCACAAGAGAAAATTCGCCCAAAAACCAGAGAAAAAAGTCTCTAGGGTTTAATAAAATATTATAAAATCAATAACTGTCTCAAAAGCAGTCCACAAGCCGGACTGTTATAGCAAAAAAATCGTCTTTATTCGAATTTTGCCAAAAATAGCAAAAATCGTATTTATTCGAATTTTGCCAAAAATAGCAAAATCCCGAAAATCACTCTAAATTGAAAATCGAAATAAAATAAGCAATCTCCCAAAAATCCGGTCTAAATCGGATTTAAATTGACTTCCTAATTAACAATCGAAATATTACCATAAATAGTAAAAAATAACTAAATCTAGTGATTCGGAGGGGAAAACGGCAGAATTTTAGGTTGAAAAAAAGGCCACATGGGTGGAGAGCGTGCGCGTCGAAAAGAGCTTTCCGGATTGGGGTCTTATGCGCGATTCTGACACCTGTAGCCAAAGTTATGGCCAAAAGACTGAAACATACTCAAAACGACCCCAATAAGGAACATGTCACAATCAATTCCCGCCTTTGCGCTGATCTGCCAACTCATGGTATCTCAGCGCCATCAACGTGCAATCTGACAGCTCAGCATCATCTGTCTCGGATCCCCCTGCATCAAATTCCTAGCACTCATGCAGGTAGTTCATTTTTTTTTGGTCTCACATTGGTGCCTGCAAGTTCTATATCATCTCAGCGACCTGTGTCTAATTAGTATCTTGCAGATACAACTGTTGTACAAGGATATCAAATTTCCCTTTGTTAATGTGGATGAATGCGTCAAATTATTGCCTACTGTCTGGTTGAGGTTAAAAGAGGAAGAGTACTTAGTTCTTTTCTGCAGAGATGTGAAATAAATTGGTATTTTCATTTCTCATCCGTTCCTTGCTAATCAAGAATATTTACATATTCATTCTAGAGTTAATGTTCCTTTCTTTATTTCACTATCATAAAAAGAGAATGAATGCAGTACATTTCATTTAAACTTGACTATATTCTTTGTGATAATTGATTAGTTTTATACTTCATTATAAATTCTTGTTTTGTGTATATGTGTGAATATAGAGAAGCCAATTCCATTTAAGAAACATACCGATTTGATCGAATATAACTCATTGCATCAGTTTTCAATGTCCATATTATATATCAATTGCACTTCACTACTGATACACTATCAGGTTCCTCTTAATGGTGCGGCATCTACTTTGTGGATACATAAAATCTGCCATAGCATCAATTACATCTTCCTCAAAGGAACAAGGTCTGTCCTCGTCAATCCTCCCAATCTTTCCTATCCCAACACTATAGCTTCTCGTTCCCATGATCCCGCTAGCTGATGATCCCCATGGTTCTCTGATTCACGCCTGATTGTTGTTGTTGTTGTTGCATCTTCTGCTCTACCTTGTGGTCTATGCCATGCTTAGATACCGAGCATAAAAGTTGTCTAAACTCTTCACCATCATTTTCCATGGATGAACCAACCCTAAAGCTCTTAGGCAAGCGTGAAGGTTCAGGTAGAGTATGGCAGATTACCCTGCCACCATAACCAACCCTGCCGGCGCATTCAACCATTCTCTTAATGTAGAAGTCTCTTGCCTGGGTTAGAAGTCTGACAGGGGAAAAATACTATTTTCATTAAAATGTGTTGCTTCTTTCTTCTGCAACCTGTGCTTCTCATTTCTTTAACTTGGATAAGTTTTCGACTGTCACCTAAGAGAGAAAGGAGGGTTTATATGAAGAATTTGATTATCAGGTGGACATGTTTCTTGGAAGTAACTTGTGGTTTAATTGAAACGGTAAAGAGCGTGTTGTAAACTATTTGAAATCATCAAATGTCAAATACTACTGCAATAAAGAAAGGAATTAATGTTAATTTGTGAAGAAAATTAGCCCAAAATTGGAAACAATGACCCAGTAACAGTAAAACCGTGATGATCCAACAGATATATATATATATATATATATATATAACAGGTGTCAAGAATTTGTTTTTTTCTTTAGAAAATAAATATTCATGTTTGAATTCGTCTTCTTCATCGAAAGGAGAACAAGTAAAAAAATAATTTTCCTCCTTTTTGATAAAATCTGTGTTTTGATCCATTTGAGTATAATATTTTTTATTATGCGGCATAGAATTTTCTTGGACAATCCGAGGCGATATTCCTCTATGTGAATTGCTATTGCTAGCTACAAGTGATTGTTAAGAGTAGTAGAGGCTCAGCTGAATTATATGTCTAAAGCCATGGATAATAGCATGAAGTGAAGGATTTTTTGTTTAGACTGAGAATTGTAATCGGTGAAGATTCGATCATAAGGAAAGATTTTGTTCTACACATAAGAGAGAGGGAAAAGAGAGAGAGTCTCCCATCATATTTGTTCTATAAGATTTTATGTTGATCTTTTGATGGTTGGTGTCTGGCATAAAATCATCTTACATGTTGATAGGCTGACAGATTATACAAATAGACTGTCAATTGTCAGATTTGACTCTGTCAAAGATCATGTTAAACATTAATGAGTATACACTCTAAAATATTGATTTTGAAGAAAAAAAAATTCAGATAAAATATTTTTAGACATTCTGAAGATTTTACTTAGAGGAGGTATCTTTATCGATGAAGATTTAACAATTTTTTGAAAAATCTTATCCGAAAATATAACATAAAAATTTTTTATCCATCCAGGCTAAAGAAATTTCCCATATTTTAAACCTATAAATCAGAAACCGAAAGCAATGGTTAAGATATTGAAGGGGATACAAGGGTTCAAATTACAGTTGCAATTTCCTTTTTGGTTAACATAACATATATTCTTACAATAATTACCAGTATCATAATCATACAAATAATATTTTATAGACAATACTACTACCACTATATAAAGGACCAATATTCAAATTTATGGGGTATACTGAGTCGAATCTAGTGCCATGGTTTCGTCATTTTCGTTTGTCCTACAGTTCCTTGACAGGGAGAAATATGCAAAATGGAACCGATACTGAGAGTTGTAGAGCCAAAGAAAACAGAGGGAGAAACCTTATCTTATTATCTGCATATCGAAAAACAAAAAACTTGTGGCTGCATTGTTCCTTGGAAGAAAAATGGTGTAAAGTTCAACAATGGGTTCAATGGCGCAAAGTGTTTTAATGGCACTGACTGTAACGGTCAACCAATTTGCTTCCTCAAACGTGCATGCGGTTCCACTCCCTCACTTCTAAACCAAAATTAATTACAGCCGCCGCCGCGGCAACCGTAATCGCAAGGAGAGGCCTTGTTTTATCAGCCGTGGCTTCCACTCCCCAGCTCAGTGATTCCGGAACCGAGCTTCTCGAAAGTACGGAACCCATATCTTGTTCTTGCTTATAGTTTTGGGAATTTTAAACAGGAGTTAATGTGACAGGGTATTTGAAGAAATCAGAGGAAAACAAAGCCAATAATGACAAAGAGGTAGGCTTCTGAATTCTGATAATTTTTTAAGTTAAAGATTTTGGTACTTAAGCAATGGTGTGGGTTTAGAGAATGGAGAACTATTACAGGCGAAACTACAAGGACTACTTTGAATTCGTGTAAGGGACATTGAAAGGGAAGGAGGAACAACAGCCAACTGAGGTAGGAAAGGGTATAATTGATTGGCTTAAAGCTAATAAATAAACGGGTAAACTACATCAAATACCACAAAATTTTAGGTTTTGTATTGTTTATACAACTAAACTTTCAATTTTACCAATTATAGCACTGAACCTTGATTTTCGTTTCAATTATATCACTAAATCGTTAAATCGTTAACGACATGATGACGTAGTTGACGGCTGCCGACGTAGACACTTGATTAAAATGGCATCGTTTGATCCGGATGTTAACGATTTAATGACGCAGTGGTATAATTGAAATGAAAATCAAAGTTCAATGTTATAATTAGCAAAATATAAAGTTTAGTGGTATAAACGATACAACGCCTAAAGTTCTACAGTATCTGGTGTAATTTACTCTAAAAAATAACAAGTTGGATTTAATCCATTAATTAGCCTAGTGATCAAAGATGCTCATTTTTTTCTTATCTTGTTTGAGTTCAAATCTCAATAGCCATTAATTTGTCAATATTTGTTTAAATGAAAGGAATAAAGCTTGATTTGGTACTTCAATTTTACTATTTTTTAATTGATTTTTTATTTTTTTACTACATTAGTATATGAATTTGTATTATGTAATATAAATTAGTTTTTTCCTTAACATAGTTAGTTTATGTTTTTTATGACTGTAACGGTCAACCAATTTGCTTCCTCAAACGTGCATGCGGTTCCACTCCCTCACTTCTAAACCAAAATTAATTACAGCCGCCGCCGCGGCAACCGTAATCGCAAGGAGAGGCCTTGTTTTATCAGCCGTGGCTTCCACTCCCAGCTCATGATTCCGGAACCGAGCTTCTCGAAAGTACGGAACCCATATCTTGTTCTTGCTTATAGTTTTGGGAATTTTAAACAGGAGTAATGTGACAGGTTTGAAGAAATCAGAGGAAAACAAAGCCAAGAATGACAAAGAGGTAGGCTTCTGAATTCTGATAATTTTAAGTTAAGATTTGGTACTAAGCAATGGTGTGGGTTTAGAGAATGGAGAACTATTACAGGCGAAACTACAAGGACTACTTTGATTCGTGTAAGGGACATTGAAAGGGAAGGAGGAACAACAGCCAACTGAGGTAGGAAAGGGTATAATTGATTGGCTTAAAGCTATAAAACGGGTAAACTACATCAATACCACAAAATTTTAGGTTTTGTATTGTTATACAAAAACTTTCAATTTTACCATATAGCACTGAACCTTGATTTTCGTTTCAATTATATCACTAAATCGTTAAATCGTTAACGACATGATGACGTAGTTGACGGCTGCCGACGTAGACACTTGATTAAAATGGCATCGTTTGATCCGGATGTTAACGATTTAATGACGCAGGGTATATTGAAATGAAAATCAAAGTTCAATGTTATAATTAGCAAAATAGAAAGTTTAGTGGTATAAACGATACAACGCCTAAAGTTCTACAGTATCTGGTGTAATTTACTCTAAAAAATAACAAGTTGGATTTAATCCATTAATTAGCCTAGTGATCAAAGATGCTCATTTTTTTCTTATCTTGTTTGAGTTCAAATCTCAATAGCCATTAATTTGTCAATATTTGTTTAAATGAAAGGAATAAAGCTTGATTTGGTACTTCAATTTTACTATTTTTTAATTGATTTTTTATTTTTTTTACTACATTAGTATATGAATTTGTATTATGTAATATAAATTAGTTTTTTTCCTTAACATGGTTAGTTTATGTTTTTTATTCATATTAGTCCCTATTTTTTAAAAAGTTTAAAGAAGTTTTAAATGGGCCACTCAATCAATCACTTGTTACAAACAGATCACTCTATCGTTAAGTGTGTAATGGATGTTAATTTTTTAGTTGCAATTTAGTGGCATAATTATATCAATCGATAAGTTAAGTGATTTGATTGTTATAATTGATAAATAGAGTGATATGATTGTAACTAAAATGTAAACGTCCATTTCATTTTTAATGGTAGAGTGGTATGCCTATTATAATCGTTTAATTGAATGATCCGTTTGTAACTTTGTAAAATTCAATGACCCATTTATAATCTTATTAATATTCAACTACTCATGTTGTATTTTACCCATAATTCTAACAATTAACCGTTGTTTTTGTTTGAAATCCAGTAATATTCAATAGCCACGTGGACACAAATAATATCCAAAATCGAGCCAAAGTAGATCTTGAAGAGAAAATAAATTCAGTGACCGAAAATGTCTCCTAATATATGATTTTAATCAATTTTTTTTTGGATTTACGAAAACAACCAACAAATTCGCAACGCGAACTCTAATTTCACAACACCGTTTCTAAATTCGTAATACGATTCTCCAACATTTTCGCAATGCTAATTACCGATATAGGTACACACAACTATTCGCCACTCAGTTTTCAAATTCGCAACACGATTCTCCAAATTCGCAACGCGAATTTTGCAACGCTTATTACCGATATAGGTAAACACAACTATTCGCAACTCAGTTTTTAAATTCGCAACGCGAATTAGCCAATTTTGCAACTAAATTACAGATATAGGTAAACTCAGTGGAAAAAATCCGATAAAAAATCCGAATTCGACGATTTGAAAACTGAGTTGTGAATTTGACAAATTTGTGTTGCGAAATGTAAAATCTCGCCTCTTAAAGAAAAAATCGTGAGTAAATAATAATTTGATCTTTATCAATTTTAAAAGTGAGTAACTAATCACAATTAGTTCAATATGATTAGAAGATTTTTTTAGTTCAATATGTTGGTCACACGTAGAATTTTTATTAGTAAAAAATATCGTTGCGAAAACGAAATTCGCGTTATGAATTTAAAAACTGAGTTGCGAATAGTTGTGTTTACCTATATCGGTAATTAGCGTTGTGAAAACGAAATTCGTGTTGCAAATTTGGAGAATCGCGTTGCGAATTTGAAAATTGAGTTGCGAATAGTTGTGTTTACCTATATCGGTAATTAGCGTTGCGAATTTGGAAACTGTGTTGCGAAATTGGAGTTCGCGTTGCGAATTTGTTGGTTATTTTCGCAAATCCAAAAAAAGTTGGTTAAAATCGTATATTATAAGGCATTTTCGGTCACTGAAGTTATTTTCTCGATCTTTAAATGGGGTAAAGCTATTCAAACATTTTTTATCTAGGGCAAACTATACATGTAGTATCTAAATTATTACTTTAATTTCGTTTTGGTATTTAAATTTTATTTTAAAATCATACATTAACGTTTAGTTTATGTTTATTTTGGTACTTTCCGTTAAAAACTTGAAGATGATGTCGACGTATCATCATAAGATAATGTCACCTCATCATTGAGAAAATAAAAAAAATTAACACGTCAGCAGTTTTGTCTCAATGCAGTGGAGTTGTCTCAATGCATATGTGCATGGATGGCAGAAGACCTTTGATTCTTTCTATAAGACAATTGAAGAAAATGATAACATATTAACGCTAATAATTAACGTATCATGTGATCCAGTTTTCCATTTTAGAGACTCCCGCTAATAATTTATTTTAAAATTTAGTGGAGTTGTCTCAATGCATATGTGCATGGATGGCAGAAGACCTTTGATTCTTTCTATAAGACAATTGAAGAAAATGATAACATATTAACGCAACACAGAGGCAATAAATAAATTTCTATTGCCATAGTGGAGGCATGTCGACTCTCTTGGTCGAACGATAGAGAGATAATGAAGGTATCTCGATGATTTAGTCTAAATTTTCAAATAGAATGAGGTAGGCATCTCAACACTTAAACATGTTGGGTTGATCTCGGTGTTTAAATTTATATAACCTCATTGCTCGGTTGCATTGTTATTTCAATTTGACGATTTTTAGGCTGGGTGAAGTTATCTCCACGCTTATATGTATATCATGACGAAGATTCTCAACATTTTTATTCACCTAGGCCCATACTCAGATGTATTATTGTCTTAATCTTTGTAAAAGTTAGATAGGCAAATCTCAGACTATGCGGAATTGTTTCTATGGCCACATTTCATGCGGAGGATTCTCAATGCTTTGGTGGGATATCTGGGCAATGGAATCATCTGGACGCTTTGTAATGGTTTCAGATTGGTTCCTATAACCTTAGAGGAGGCATCTCAACTCTATTAGGCCGGTAGAGAGATCATAATATATTCTCTGTAGTTAAAGTGAGGCGGAGGCATCTTCGCGTATTCAACTAGAGAGAAGGCAACTCGACGCCCTCGGAGGAGATTCAGAGGATGAACGGAGTTGTCTCAATGCTTGTATGTATGTTCTGCGGAGATTTACCAATACTTTCAGTAAAATATTAGCGGAGGTGTCATTTTATCAACGTCTTTACGAACTTGCCTAGGTTCATAGTCTCTACTTCATTTGGGTTTTTTGCGAAATTAAATCGGGTAGAGTTATCTCCAGGCACATAGCACTCTACAGAGGCTGCTCAACGCTTTTGGGATATTTCAATTAATTCAGGCGGAGCTGTCACCGTGCCCACTTGTATTCCCTACGGAGGATTCTTAACACTTTTAGGATATCTCAATTAATTCGGGTGGGGTTTATCCCCAGCGTCATGTTCACTTTCTACTATGGCTCTCAACACTTTTGATCAATGTAGGCAAAATAGTTTTCTGATTCAGTATGTATTTACTCGCGAAGGGTTCTCGACACTTTATCAGGGATCATCTTCATGTTTTATGATGGTCCAATATAAGTTTCTTAACCTTAGCAGATGCATCTTTGTCCAATTTAGCCGGAGAATGCGTGATAGCATATTGTTTGTAGGAGGCAATTAACACCCTAAACTCGATCCATTGGAACGATATCCTTTGATGCTACATTTGGGCCCTTGAGCGACCCAATAAGTCATACTATAAAATTTTCATGTTGAAAGCCCATAAACATCTTTAGAAACGCATCATCATTCATAAAATTAGTGTTGCAAAATATGGAGCTCTGACTCATATAAGTTTACACAAGAATAACTCAATAGCTTAAAACATATTCATACACAAAACTAACATACGACTA